GCATGTGACTAACCTGTTTGTCCATGTGGAGGCAGTGCTTATAAGGCTGAGTTTACCTGAAACTCCTCAGACTGAAGAAGTCTCTTGGAGGAGAGATGAAACGTTTCACTAAAGAAGAACCCATCCAGAGGACCTACTTATTTTTTCTTTTTGATTTTTTCTACCTGGATTACTGAGATGCATCAGGACATGTAGTGACTGTTCTGCTACTTTTAGCTTTTAGTTAGCATTTTGCAACTTTAAAAACTTAGTGACTGTTCTTCTGTACTTCAGCCTCTTACTTTTAGCTTTCAACTAGCTCTTTGCTGCTTTTAGCTATTAGCCTTTCAGTATTTTAAGCCATCTTTTTGAGACCTTTACCTTCTGGCTTATCTTTTTATAGATTTATGAACTACATAGTTGCTCTGTTCTTGTCTTCTTGTGCTACTTTTAGCTTTAGATAACCCCTTTTGCATCCGTTGTTTTTTTAGATAACCATCGGCTTCTTTTAGCTCTTAGCTAGTGCTGTGCTTCTTTTAGCTACAAAACAGTTTTTTTCAGCTAATTTCAACAGTCATTCAGCTCTCGGCATTCCTCAGGATCACGTTCCCTGGTTAGTGCTAATGAGCTTAACTTAAGAGACACTCCACCCRTATCTGTTCACAGTTTGTGGATCTTCCTGTTCCAGCTACAGGTTTAGTTGTTAAAAACTACTTAAATACCAAACTAGCACTTTTTTTTGACCTTAACAACAAAATACTCCTCTGGCTAAAACACTTATCCTCCTTATGTTGAAATGTAAACATTAAAGCTGCTAAAAGCTTCTTGGAAGCATTTATTTCCATTTGCAGTTTTAAAGGTTGATGTGCTAAGAGCCTGAAGCTTTTACCCGAACAGACAGTGGATCAGTTTTCCCTCGGGGCCTTCTTCTTCTTCTTCTTCTTCTTCTGCTGCTGCTTCTGGCACGAGCTGCATTATTGTTGAGAGCAAAATTTTGAATCAAAGATTAAGTGGGTGAAGATATGCCAACATTTATGTAATGGCACCTTGTTAATCTGTTTAAATGCAAGTAAGGAATTTAGAGCAAGAATATCGATAATTTTTTATACAATTTATATGAAGTTTGTGAAAACTGCACAGACAGGAAACAGCAGCTCAGTTACTCCTGGTTATTTTTAGAGCCTTTGGCCAATCCATCAAACTGTCTTTATGAGTGGGAAGATACWAATCTTTGTGAATACTGAAGATTTACAATGAAACTTGAGTTTTGTTTGTTTCAGGCCTGGCTTTACACTGGCACACATGCAAGGCCTTGTGAATCCCCGTCTGTGTGTCATGTAAGCAAAATATCTAATAAGCCACCGTCCAAAAGTAATCATTGACCAACCTTCACAGTCAACAAAAATGGCTAAAACTCTTGTCAACAAGGAAAGCATGAAAAGCTTATTCAAAGTATTTTTCTTTCTTGTTTTAAAGGCTGAAATGTGTTTTGTGTTTTAGTTTTAACAAATTTTAAAGGATTTAATTTAAATAAAGGAAAAACTTTAACATCCTTGCAACCCATCTATCATCTGAATGTGTGACTTTGAGGCATGCAGCAGCTCCACTCAACAGATTACCATTCTTGAGTATATGTTTATATTAAAATGTCCTGTTGCCTCTGAAGGCATCCGGATACCTGTCTCCCTCAACGGTCTGACGTACAGAAAACATCTGGGGTCTTATCCTTAAAACCGCAAATTATACTCAACACTCATTTATCTTCTTCTTTCATAACGTTTTATTGCACCACAGCTGAAAAAAAGACCTGCCTCGTCTTGTTAACAGATACCTTTTTCGAATTCTTGTCTGGAGGCCCTTTGACTTGTTTGTGTAAAAAAAAAAGGCCTGCATGTTTCTGCACGTAGAATCCAAACGTTTTCAGTCCGGATTCTTTAACAGTGTTTTATTCATCCAGAAACCATGAATAGGAGATTAAAGATTAGTGGCTTTTACTGCTTTTATTTAGTTTATGTGTCAAATGTCTGCTCGCACCTTCAGCAGCAGGGATTGCGTTTTGTATTTACTGCCAGGGAAGAGGAAAGCTCTGTGTTTCTTCAGGGAATAACCTCAAAAACCAAATGCAAACACTTTAATCTTCTCATCAAAAGCCTTAATCCTACAGTATATTTAGGGAAAACAGACTGACAGAGTAATTCTTATTTGCGATACATTTACAAATCAAACATTACAGCCTCCTTTATTAYATAATGCGGAATATTACACGACTCAAAGTGGTACCAACTTTCATTGTCCAGAAAATAAAAATCCACCTTAAGAGAACTTTTAACTGATCCAGCAACATGAGTCAAATGAGAGGGATGACATCTCCCTCTAGAGGTGAATTTGAGTAATTTCCTTGTTTCAGAAACAACATGGCTGCTCACATGAAGACGTTTCAAGGATCACAGTRAGAAGGAAGAACCTGCAAACCATGAAGGAAAGCAGGTAAAATCATTAGAAATCTTGCAAATATATGATTTATTGCATTACTTACATGTTTTGCTAAATAACTTGTGAGGAAAACAGCAGTTAATTGTGCTGCCATGGCCTTGAAAAGGTTTGTATTTACATTAGGGGTGCACCGGTTGCAGTTTTCTGTCTGTTCACAGATCTTTAAAAAGTCTGACCTGCCGATTCCGATTTTGGCCGATACAGAATTTTTTTTACAACTGATACTGTCAGGTTTTATACGGTCACAACACACCTTCAATGCAGTGGCGGAGCCAGACATTTTTCTCAGGGGTGGCCAGACGGGGACCACTACTCACACGGGGTGGCCAGGCAAATTACATTATTTTTTACTTTAAAGTTTCTGCAGATCTTTGTGTTTTGGTTATTTCTTTATGTCCCTATCCAGGCAGTATACCTGTACCTTATAAACGTGGGCGTCAGAACCATTTTAAAAGTTGGGGGCCACACTGTTGGGGGGTCTGTGGTTCCTCTTCCAGAAAATTTTGAACGAAAAAGATGCCCTTAACAGCATTCTGGTGTATTTTACCAGGTTGTTTAACATACTTTTACCTACATAAATAAACACTTTATTTAATAATTATTTCAGAGACAGATTCTTCATTAAACTAGTTCCATCATCCTGTTTTAAACTCACTGCTACAGCTGAGATAAGGTTAGTTAATGTAACACAATTTATCATATCCACTGACTTTAGGGGTGCTTTTTACTTTTATATTGTTATTGATTTATTTTTAATTTTAACACATCATTGTGCCAAATAATGATGACCTTCAGYTGCATGTTTAAAACTAAAATTAATATTTTTACCCAATGAACAGGTGCAATATTGATAACCACCAACAGTGAATTTAGAGGGATGTTTCACTTTTTCTGATTTAGTGATRGGCCTACTCATAACCAGAATGGACAGAGCACCTTGCAGCCTTCGTAGCATAAAATGACACTGTGTTATGTGACAAAAAGAAAAAAAAACATTTGTCACCATAAGTCAGATTACATAGGCATATGTTCTGTATATAAAGAAAACAATCACTTCTTTGTCACTTCTTTGAGCTTGGTAATGTTTCAAACACTGCCGCCAACTGTTCAGGAGGACAATTACACCCCTAAATGTTGTTTCACTGTGGAAGGGGTGTGTACAGCAGGGTGGCCAATGGGATGGCCAAAGATGTGTCTGTTGGTCATGGCCACCCCTGGCTACCCCCTGGCTCGGCCCCTGCTTCAATGTTCCAATCTTATTTTAATGAAAACAATACTCTTGAAGCAATGCAAACTTGTTTTAACTGGACATTAGGTAGTGCTCACAGCAAAGCAAAAGGGGGCTGTGGGCAGTGGCTGATCAGACCTTTGTGGAGATAGAAAAGAAGCTGATCTTTTCCACAGATCTTATCTAACTATCGACCAATCTCTAATTKCCCAAAATTAAGGAAATTATAAATTGGCCAGCTGATTTGTTGGTGCACCTCTAGTTTTTGAAAGATGAGCTGTCATCTGTTAAAGCTATGATGATCTCTCTCTGCAGCCACAATGGATACAAAGGAAGTGGTTCACTTGACTCTTCAGATACAGAAGTTAGCTGCAGAGCAAAGTTTTGGGAATATCCTCAGCCTCCTTGGTGATCTYGATAAGTCTCATTTAACAGCAGGGCAGCTGGAAGCCACAGAYGTCGTCAAAGTGCTTTATAGGCTCCTGAGAACCTGCTCAGATCACAGCGTAAAGAGGACTGCGAAGAGCTTGTTGTCRAGGTGGAAGAGAGAGTACGGCAACGAAAGGCGAGGAGGGAAAAACRCAGATTTGTGCGATGTTTCTGTGGACTCCGGTGCGAGGGCTTCAGCACAAGAGGATGGCGATGGTCCAGTTCAGGCTGAAAACAGAGGGGAGGGCGGTTCAGAACCAGAGGCGAAATGTGCCGTGCAATGTACGATCTCTTCTGCATCTTCTGACCCTGTGAGGACTAAATGTGTCCAGCTTCTCCTCTCTGCTCTCCACCCTGAACCTCCCGATCAGGACAACGCGGCACAGTTGGCTGAAGACATCGAGCGGCACATCCACRAGCTCCACCCAGCCAACCAGCTTAAATACAAAACCTGTTTGAGGAGCAAGGTGGCGAACCTGAGGAATGCCAAACACGGACACCTACGTCAGGGTCTCCTGAGTGGCTCCCTGACCCCGGAGGTCTTCGCCCGGATGTCTGCAGAGGAGATGGCCTGTCCAGAGCTCCGGCAGCTGAGGAAGGAGTACTCATCCCGGGGTGTGAGCGAGAGGCAGCTTCCACAAGGGCCGGAGGGGACACAGACGCAGAAGATCCACTGCAAAAGATGTGGAGGGTCAGACTGTAGAGTGACGCAGGTGTCCCGGGGGACACTGTTTTTACCTGCATGGGTAAGGCGTGGGGGTCCTGATGAGGATGCAATGACCTTTGTGACTTGTAGTGGGTGTGGCCAGCAGTGGTACCACAGTGGCTGGAACTGCCTCTAAAACTTGCTCATGGATTTTATTATTGTTCATTAGATGTCTTTGTGAATGTGTCCTCCTTTCTGGAGTTTAGGATCAGGTTTTAATTATCTTGCCCTGAATTCTTGTTTTCAATGTATGATCTTAAGCTACCATTGTGCAAAACTCAAACAACTGGTAAGTTTTTGATTTCAAGAAGCAATAACAATGAAGTTTTGTTTATGAAATTGTGATTATGTACAGAATATTTTCATCATTGTGACTCTGCTGTTAGTAATGTCGTGAGTGTTTCCACCTACAGTTCAAAGGTTTCAAGCAGAACTTTTTAATGTAAATTAAAAAAAAATATATATATATTTAAGAAGAAAACGGAACTATTGTTTAAAGTTGTTTTGATTCTTATAAAGACAAGCTGTATATTTTTCAAAGAAACATCCAATTGAGGTATTTTCATTAAATATTTTGATGCCCATATAATTTGAGATAAACCCACATTTTCCACACTCCTTCCTGTTGTCTTCATGAYACTCTCATGTTTAAGCACAGACTGGTGAACCCCCATCTGTTTTCACTTCTGAGATCCAGCCTCTCAAAAATCCTCTTTAAACACATTCCCCATATTGTCATGTAACCAGTTGACCTAATTCTTAAAAAAGTTCCTCCTAATCTTTATTTGCACCACTTTCAAAYACTTACATGGTTCCTGTCTTAATTTTTATGAGTTACTGTCATAAAATTTGAAATTATCTTATTCTTTCACAAAATTTATACTACCTACAGCATTTGATGTTCCATTGCRAATAAAGTTTGGGTTTGAGTTTTTCAAATTAATCTTTTTTTTTAACATTTTACATGATGATCCAACTATTTTGGACTTGGCATCAAATTGTCATAAAACTTACCAAAGAAAAAAGTCATTTGACTTTTTGTAAGTTTGACATATCCAGMATTTATAAAATTAAAGCTGTTGTATTTTATAGTTGTTTACCAATAGTTTTACAAAATAAATCTTGCAAACAGTTCCATATTTTCTGCAATTAAACCCTAAGAGTGTCACAGATGAAATGTGTGACTTTTAAACCACGAGTGTCCGTGTGTTCAGTTAAAGTCCAAACTGGGACTTCAGATAGATGCCGAAAAGCYGACTTGATGCTTTTCATTGCAAAACCAAACCACAAGTTTTCCTGAAGCAGCTCAAGTCGTCACATTCCYGCTGAATCATTTCCTGTCTAATGGTCCTTCACTTCTATGTATTTAGCTGCTAGTCATGGCTTCTATCTAAACCTTTCTGAAAAGAATTTAATGCGTCTTCACTGGAAAGTGTTCAACTAATTGCACTTATGAGCTTGAAAGCTGGGTAATTGCCCTAAAAAAGGACAGCAAACATTCCACTGTTTCCTAACAATATCCCATTCATGTGTTGCATCTGAATCTGGTGAATGCAGCATGTGATATTAGACATCATGTGAGCTCGTAGTAGATCCTCTGGGGCAGATGTATCTGGTGAGGCACAAGCCAATGTGGCACAACGATTCATGAACCATGAGGTCACATGGAGAGTTTACAGCCTGRAGTGTTTTCTTTTAGGTGTTTGGTTAGATGAAGAATTACAGCCTTTTTGTCACTGTGGCCCATCAAATCAGTGTTCTGAAGTCATCAAATAGACAAACATGGACGCTCACAACATGGGGTCCTCACAAAGACAAACTAATAAATCAAACATTAGTGCAGAATATGTAATACTTCATAGGCTTGCAAAGCAGCAGGGATGAATCTGAAGAAATGACGTCAATATAGCAAGAACATTTTTCAAATTTAGTTGTGTGTAATTACAGATAGGACATCCTAAATAGGTTTTATGTGGGGTAGTTCTCAGGTGAGTGAAAAGCAGCTGGGATGAGAGTCTCTTGAGTCTGAGGCCATAATTCTCAACCAGAAATGGGAGGAATGGAGRAGGTGGTGGGGGTCTCTGCCTCAGGTGGCGGGGTTTAAGTACCTGCACATCTTGTCCATGAATGATAGTAGGATGGAGCTGGAGATGGAGTGATGGATTGGGACCTTGTCCTCAGTAATGAGGGTGTTGCTTTGGATGGTCGTGGTGAACAAAGACTTGAGTCTTTGCCTTTCAACCCTCACCTGTAGTCATGATACCTCATGGTAAGATGAGGTAAGAGTCATGACGAAAACAGTGACATCCCAGATACAAGGAGAAATGGGTTTCCATAGGGTGGCCGGGCTCAGCCTTAGAGATAGGGGGAGGAGCTCTGTCATTCAGGGGAAGCTCAGAGTAGGGCTGCCACAAACGATTATTTTTATAATCGATTAATCATCGATTATTTTCGATTAGTTGACTAATTAGATC